GGCCTTTACCACCTCTTACAAGCTCAAGCGGCACCTGCAGTCGCACGACAAGCTGCGGCCCTTCGGCTGCCCCGTGGGCGGCTGCGGCAAGAAGTTCACCACAGTGTACAACCTCAAGGCGCACATGAAGGGCCACGAGCAGGAGAACTTGTTCAAGTGCGAGGTGTGCTCCGAACGCTTCCCCACGCACGCCAAACTCAGCTCCCACCAGCGCAGCCATTTCGAGCCCGAGCGGCCCTACAAGTGTGACTTTCCCGGTAACCGCGCGCCACGGGCCTGCGGGCGGGCTTCGGGGGGCTCCCGGGGCCCCAGGGCCAAATTGAGTCGCTCACAGTGGGTGCGGTGTCGCCCTGCCTTCTGCTGCTCACTTGGGCAGGATTTAAATTCCGTGGGCCGAGAGTGAGGGGCGGGAACGGAGCACTCTGGTGTCTGTGTTCCAGTTCTTTCCAGGTGATTCACTTAGATATCTCAACCCTGCATTGCTGCGGGGATTTCGACAGCAAGGTAGTAACAAATCATTACAGCCTTCCTTCCCCGGGGTGGAGGCAACAGGTCTCTCTCTTAAAGTGCTTCAGGTTAATGAAAGTGATAAAGCATCTTCCCAGAGATTTGTCTTATGAGTCAGGCGTTTGTGTTCTTCGGGCTTTCATCGGTTAGAAATGGTCAGTTATCAGATATTTCTGCTGGCACGCACCAGTGTGGGAGGAACACAGATGAATCTGGCCAGAAGCCACATTCTGAGGCCCTGAGGCCTGAGGGGGATGGTCACAGGTGTGGTGCATTGCGCTTTTGGTGGCTTTTCTGCTTTTATTTCCTTTGGACTTCAGTTTGGGGAAGTCCTAAAAATTATCCTCATTTCACAGATGAAGAGTCCGAGGCCCAGCAGTGTAGGTGAAATCCAGTGGAGGGTTTTCTCCTCTTTCGTTGTCTGCAGTGGGAGGGAATGCAGGCTCCACAAGAGTAAACTCCACCAGGATCGGCAGCTTTAGGTGCTCTAAGGGGAAGAATGTGCCTCCCCAGGAGGAAGAGAAGATTCCCGCCTGGGAAGGAATTGACTTGGGGGGGAGTGACACTGCCAAGCCAAGGCAGGGAATATGGGCTGTGGTGGTGGTGTGGGGTGGGGAGTGAAGTTGGAAGGGTGTGGGAGGGCCCGTAGAGCGTGAGGGGCCTTCCACTTCCTGTTCATCAAAACAAAAACTCAACTATATGCCTAGCACACACCCAGCGTGTTACTGATGTGTTACATACGTGCAGCGCTCTCCTAGTAATGTGCATGTTGTAAAAAATACACTCACATATAGAGATTTTTAAAGGGTGAAATGAAAAACACATGTTAATAGATTCTTCTGTTTTCTTCCCACATGCTTGTAGACTGTCTTGTGCATCCTCTTTGTGGAGAATATGAGTTTAGAGCACCGTTTCAGAACCTTTCTCAGTTACATACCGTGAATCTGATGATGGCTTATAGTCTGCTCCCTAGTGAAATGCACCAAGAGTGTCGTTCCACGTATAATACCAGGAAGATCAGGGCTGTAGCTTGCTTTCGGGTATGAAGTCCCCCCGAAAGTTTTGAGTTGGATGATCAGTGGGGTGTTTTAAGACGGGTGGGGTCAGGAGAGGGACCAGTGAAACCCCGTTAAATGTTCTAGGCCTGAGTTCCACGTAGGAAAGATTTCAGAGGGAGGATCATAGGCCTTAGTTGTTGATTGCAGGGTGGGTGAATCTTGCTAAGGGCTGAGAGATTTACCTGTTGGAGTGTATGAAAATACATCCAAGCCCAAAATAGGGAATGGGTGGGGGTGGGGAGGGAGGGCAGATTTATGCTAAAGAGGAGGAGGATTTTAGGGCATTTAGGAAGATGAGCACTTCCCAATTAAGTATTGCTAGGGAAAGTAGGGTTCCTTGGGCTAGTGCTTTGATGTGGTGATGATGCACAGCGTGTATCTGCTTAGTGGTTTACAGGCACGATGGTAGCATGTTAAAGGCTCTGAGAAGAGCTGCAACAAAGATACCTGGGAAGCATCTTACAACCTAGTATTTTCTACTCCATTTGAGCACTGAACCTTTTTGTTAAAGGAGAGCTTTCGATATGGAAAGTCTGTGAATTGCTGAAGTAGGCTTTCTGGTGGCTCCACTGGGGTTGGCGATAGAGGTGAAGGAAAAAGCTAGGGGAGTGAAGATGACCCTGGTAGCCTCCTTTGACAGCAGGGTACGCTGGGGAAACAGGCAAAAGGAAAAAAAAACCTGGTGACGGGGGGATGCTGCCGGTTACAGAGGATGCATAGAGGACACAGAGGGTGTGTGTAGGACAGTGCATCACCCCCAAGGGGTGAAAAAGTCTCGGACATAACAATGGTTTGTGGCCCTTCCAAGTGCAACTCCTGCCAGACAAAATCCTTGTTCCTTAGCATCTGATCTCTTTCATTGGGTTTTCTTTGGTCTCGCATAGGCAGCCCTGACATTTGAGTTCACAGAATGTAAGCAAGATCTGTGCTGTGGAACTGGGAGCACATTGCTGTGATTGGAGCTCCCTTGATCGGTGGCTTCATATTGAAGTCAGATGACAACAGGTGGCCTGCGTGTGCCTATCGGCTGCCTTTACAAAGCCAGATGTCAGCGGTTGTAACAATGGTTGTAACTTTCTGGAGGCGCTTCTGACTCATTTTCTTCCTTGTTTGCTTCACGGTGTCCTGGAGTGGTGGCTAGGTTAGCCGTGTTATGTGATTTTTGTCACACCAGTGAGCAGCGTTTGTGTTTTCTTTGTTCAGGCTGTGAGAAGACATTCATCACAGTGAGTGCTCTGTTTTCCCATAACCGAGCCCACTTCAGGGAACAAGAACTCTTTTCTTGCTCCTTTCCTGGATGCAGCAAACAATATGACAAAGCCTGTCGCCTGAAAATTCACCTGAGAAGTCATACAGGTAATGAGCTAGAGAATGCAACATCGTTTGCACCCACAGTTTGTCATTGTGGTAGCTTGCATTTATGGTGATGAGGTGTAATTTTTGTCTTTTCCAAGGCGAAAGACCTTTTATTTGCGACTCTGACAGTTGCGGCTGGACCTTCACCAGCATGTCTAAACTCCTACGGCACAAAAGGTACTCTTTACATTTTGGTTCAGTTACCAGTATGGGAAATGAATTTGTTGTTTGTCCGCAGCAGAAGCCTGTGGATGACATGTATCTGTTGAGGTTTTTTTTTTTTTTTTAATTTTTTTATTCAACGTTTATTTATTTTTGGGACAGAGAGAGACAGAGCATGAATGGGGGAGGGGCAGAGAGAGAGGGAGACACAGAATCGGAAACAGGCTGCAGGCTCTGAGCCATCAGCCCAGAGCCTGATGCGGGGCTCGAACTCATGGACCGCGAGATCGTGACCTGGCTGAAGTCGGAGGCTTAACCGACTGCGCCACCCAGGCGTCCCTGTTGAGGTTTTTTTTAAGTTATAAGAAAAGGAGCCCGTTGTAGATAATTTGGTAAATTCAGAGAGCTGTGAGAAGAAAACCACTCAGAATCTGATCACCTAGTGTCAGGTTTTTTATGTATACTTGTTTTTGAACGTAATTTGTGTACTTTATATACAAGCTAATATTTTTTAAAAAGTTAATACTGTGGAAGAACCTTTCCTTATGTCATTACAAACTTTCCGTGGTGATAATGACGACCCCGGAGGCTTCACCTGTGTGCAGGTACTGGTCGGCACTTCACGTAAACGAGATATCATTTAACCTTCACAGCAACTCTGGCCTTGATGTTCTTCTCGCTGTTTTGCATTGGGACACAGAGAGGTTGAGTGGTTTGCACAGCTGGGGATTGAGGGGTTTACTGTAAAAACGTTACTCAGGAAAGGGTGGTGTTTATGCAAGGACTTGAGGATTGCAGTTGATTTTCTGTGCACGCTTCTCTTTGCCCTCCGTAGCTTGGAAACCTCGTTTGTTACCAGAATCTGTAACCGTCAAAAAGTAGCTTCGTCAATACATTTGGGACCCAGCTGTTCCGATAGAAGCAGCACTAATTGTTGTGTCTGGCTCTCAAGTCAGCCTTGTCATTAAAGTAGAATTTCTAATTACAGGGTAGCTAAATTGCAAACCTGCCCATAAGGGCTAGAGAGAATTCAGATTTTCTGAAATGTACTGATCATTTTCTTTAAATGCTGAGAGTTTGTAATTTGTGGGATTTTAAACAAAGAATCCCCTCTTGAGGCCTGGTGTCTCTGGGTGGCGTGCATAATCACCGTTCCTGTTTCTTTGTTCTCCCAGGAAACACGATGACGATCGGAGGTTTACCTGTCGCGTGGAAGGTTGTGGGAAGTCCTTCACGAGAGCAGAGCACCTGAAAGGCCATAGCATTACCCACCTGGGCACAAAGCCGTTCGAGTGTCCTGTGGAAGGTAGATTTTTAACACATTCCTTTGAGCTCTAAACTAGCACACGTCCACGTTGTTGTAAGTTTAAGTTGTTCAAAGGTAAGTTTTATTTACACAACGACAAGCTGAGCACAAGTTGCAGCATTGGGTTTAATTGGCTGGTTTTTAGTTCGTTGTCTTACCTTGGGAGCAGTGTAGTGAACCGACTTCAGAATCAGACCAGGGTTGATTCCTGGCTCTGAAGTGCACTCACGAGATCTGTGGCTCTAGTTATTACCTGTTTAATTTGGCGGTTGTGAGGATCAGGGGAAAGAACGTGTGAAAATGCCTGTTTTGGCACCTGGTACCTGTCACGGACTCAGTAAATGGTAGCCACATGGACGGCAGTAGTCAGGCTGGCTTTTTAAAAAAACGTACTGGGAATTTTTTTTCTCTGAAACACCGAAGGCATGATTCGTTGGCCAGAAGTCAGCTCTGTGGCTTGTCCGTGCTGGCCCTGCTGTAGGTGCCGCAGATGCGCCGGGATGGCAGAGTGGGTCAGCGTGTGGTTGTGAATCTTGATCCTGGCCCTCACCCGTTGGTTGGAGATCTCAGGCCAGCTTCTCTGGGCCTCAGTTTCCTTTACCTGGAAAGTGTATAATAAAGACCGTTGTGAAACTGAGACCAATTGCTAGAATGTCACGAAGATAATGTGTTGATTAAACATAGTTTAATCAAGACACGGTTCCTCCTGTCGTCAGAGCTCCAGTTGGGGCGCACCAGGTAGGCCAATAATGTGCGGGGTGCTGTGGGGACAGAGGTCACCTGGACTGTTCCTGGAGCACGGGGGGCATGGGAGTGGCCTCCCAGTCAGCCAAAGAATGAGGCAGAGCTAGCCCGGGGCAGCGGGAGTTGGGGGGGTGGGGGGGAGTGGAGTGTGGTGGAGGAGGCAGGGAGGCCAGTGCGAGGCAGTCTCCCAGAGCAGCAGTCTGAGTGCTCGGGGCAGGGGAGTGGTGGGACCGTTGTTTGAGCTTAGGCTGGGTCCGGTTTCCTGGGGAGACGGCCAGCACCTGTATTGGAGCTTAGCGGTGGGAAGGGTGAGAAGGCACCAGTGAGAGAGAGAGAGAGAGAGAGAGAGAGAGAAGTTCGTGCGCCAGCAGTGCTGTGTGGTGGATATGGGCGTATCTCACTTGAGGTGGGCACACGGGGCTGGTGGTTGAAGGAAGAGGACGGGCTGCATTTTAGGTGCCCACAGGCTTTCCACATTCCGATGGCAGGGATGCACTGCTTTTGGGGTTCGGTGAGGAGGTGGGCCGGGGGTGAGGCAGGTAGCACGTGGTGATGATTTAAACCGCAGAAGTGGATGTGGCGCTCGAAGAGAGGTGTGCTCTGAAAAGAGGCGGTGTGGTGTGGCGCGATTGAAGGCCTGAGTGCCGGAACCAGGCATCCTGGACTCCAGCCTCGAGCCTGCCACGTAAGTGGCTCTGTAACTTCTGGCAAGCAGCGTGAGGGCACTGTGCCTCTTCTCCTCATCTTTGAAGTGGTCACAAACCCACACAGGGTGCTTACGAGAGGGCTCTATAGGTAGCAGGTTGAATGGAGGCATATAGAAAAAACCACAGATGTCACCTACTGCCGTTGTTACCATTAAATGAAATTAAATGCTATTAAATGAAAAAGAAGGCCTAGCACAAAACCCTGGGGACCGCCACTCCTGCCAGTGGGAAAGTAGAAGGGGAGTCCTCGGAGGGTCCTAGGAAGGAATGGGGAAAGTGGGAGCGTTGGTGGCACTGAAGCCAGTAGAGGAGGATGTGCGGGGAAGGAGATGGGTTGGGTGCTGAGGTAGTGCGGCAGGGTGGTGAGGAACCAGGGGCTCTTCCGGTAGGGTCAGCGGGGTCCCGCAGGGGGAGGGTCGAGGTTCAGTGGAGTGACTCGGGCAGAGCCCCGCTCTAGTGCCCTGAGCGGTGAGCTCTGTTGAGGCGGGGGGTGGCTTGTGCCGACCCCTCTCCTGGCGGTGACTGAGGGAAAGAGGAAGGGGTGGTGGCTGGCTACAGAGGAGGGGTGGCTTCTGCCTTTCTGTATTTGTATCCTTGGGGGCTGTGGGCATGTCTGGGCATTGAGCTGGTAGAGGCGGGTGTGGGTGGGGAGATCTAGTGGTGCTTGGTCAAAGAGCGTGCTTCTCGAGGGAGTGGAGGTAAGGGCTGGAGCCTCGGGGAAAGGATCCTAGAACTCTTTTGGGTTGGCTGAGAGTTGATAACTTTTTTTTTTTAAAGAAGAGTTGATGATTCTTAAGTCTGGGTGATTAGACCATTTTTCCTGCCTTGTTTGAACTGTTTCATAACAAAAAGTCAAAAAACAACCACCACCCATCTTTTCGTAGTAACTGGAGGAGATGGAGAGGGTAGGGCCACACGGCAGTGAGTGTGCTGAGGGAGGACAAGGTGGTGGAATGAGGACTGTGTGTGTGTGTGTGTGTGTGTGTGTGTGTGTGTGTGTGTGTGTGTGTTGGGGCGTGTCTAGTAGGGTGTGTCACTATGTGCACCCAGTCGAGGTTGGAATGTGTGGTCCTTATGTAAGTGGTGAATTCAAGCTGAGGACATTCCCTTGACATTTGTCATTGATGGGCTGCCTCTGCCCCTCCTCGGGACGGGGTGGGTAACTTGCTATAAATGTGGGGTGCCAAGCACTGATGACTTTGATTTGTGAAGAATGGGTACGCATCTCAACAGGTGATGTTGCAGTTACGAGAAGACAGCCATGGGGCGCCTGGCTGGCTCAGTCGGTGGAGTGTGCGACTCTGTTGATCTTGGGGTTGTGAGTTTGAGTCCCACGTTGAGTGTAGAAATTAGTTTAAAAAAATACAGTCTTAAATAAATGCAATCATCTTAAACAAAAAAGGTGATTATCAAACATTAAAAGAAAAAGACCGCCTTTAACACACATGGAAAAAATGGTCATATTCCTGGTCATCAAAGGATGTACAAATTAAAATGAAATGTATTTGGTTCCCTATCGAATTAGCAAATATTTTAAAAAATCGAAACCACTGTGGCAAGAGTGTGACAGACATCCCTGTTGTGGTTGCCCCGTCCTTGGCAAAGCAGTTTGGTAAGAAGTGTTTTTGGCATCTCTGCTCTGCGATCTTCCTCTGTAAGTCTGTGCTGAGGGGTCCCAGCTAGAAAAGGGGCTGAGGCGTCCCTCCTGGGCCCTGTGTGGAGCAAAGCACAGACGGTGCACCTGGGACTGGAGGTGTCTGTTCTCTCTTGTGTTTTCCAAATGTTCTCTCAGGAGCCTGACCTGGAAACAGGCTTGAAGCTGCATTTGAAAATGAAATAAGTTCAAAACTCCTCTCAGAGGCAGCCAGAGCCTTTCGTCATCTGGCCGCATCCTATCCTCATAGCCTCTTTTCCTGAAATAGGCCTCCCGCGGGCCCCAGACTCCAGCATTTCCACCTCGCCATTCCAAGACGGTGCCACAGTGCATTGATGCGCTTTCCATTTTCTTGGGCACTGCGCGAACACTCTGTAGCTTGGAATCGTTTTCACGTCGTCTTTATAACCCTGTGCGGCGGGTTGTCATTCCCACCTGAGAGGAAAGGAAAAGGAAACCTGGAAAGAAAAAATGAGGCGCAGCCAGTAGGGGCTGAACTAGAGTTGGGCTCCAGAGTCCAGGCCCTGCCCACCCTGCTGCCCTGTTGTGGCCTCCACACGTTAGAAGGCAGCTCCTTGGCCTGCACGCCCCTCCTGCTCTGCTGTGCAGCCCTGACTCCATGTCAGGACCCAGTCACCTCAGATGCTTCTTGCCTCTTGAGACCTTTTCTGTCGCCTCAGGAAGTGCGCTCTTTCTTCTGCTTCCAGAACACTTCATGGCACTCGCACTGGTTTTATTTTTCCCCTTTGTCAGGACAGCTGGTTGGTCATGTACTTGCAGGTCACAAGCTTGTAGCTGCCAAGAACCCCGCTTGCCCTCTCTGTGTCCCTGTGGTGCAAGAGCTCCAGCAGTGGGGGATCAGGGCAAGAGGAAAGTGGGGGAGTTTTTGAATTAGTCTTGTTCACCCTCTGATGTGCGCGCAGGTCTGTGGTCTTGTTGCTTCCGGCTAAGCTGTCGAACAGCCAGCAAGGTGATGCCACCTGCAGGCTCCACTTGTACACCCGATTTAGGGTCATTTGCTGGGTCCCTTTGGGCATCAGTTTCTCAGTGGTAAAATGAGAGGAGTTGGCTTCGGTGATCTGTTGAGGTAGTTTCCAACTCTTAAATGTTCTAGGGTTACGGTTTTTATAGTGGTAGCTAAGTGTAGATGATTGGTATACATTTTTAGCAATTGAATTTTGAAGGGGTTGTTTAGCACTTAATTTGACTGACTTTTCCCAGCAGTACCGTGTAATGGGTGAAGAAACAGGCCCAGAGTTAACTAGTCCAAGGTTATGTGTCTTCTATGCAGGGGAATTTTATATCTCCTTTTAAATCCAGTTTGCTTTCAAATTTAATTCCTTTGTATTGGGGAGGAAGAATTTTTTTCTGCCCTCTCCAAGTGGTTCTAGCTGGACTAAGTTAAATTGACAGGAGACAGATTAATAGGAAATAAAATTTAATTTCATATATATGGGAAACTCACACAGATGTGAGATTCCAGGTACAGGCAAAATGAGGTATATATGTTATCCTGAGCTAGAAAGAGGTGGGGGTTGGGATCTGGGATTTTCAAAGGGAAGGAAAGCAATTCACAAGAAGATGAAAAGAGTGAATGTTTGGGGAACAAATGTTTACTGGGTCCATGGATGACAATGGGACACAGAGAGGACTTTGATCAAATAGGCCTTGCTAGGCCTTCCCTGTCCACCATACCTCGTTAGTGTCATAATGTAGTTATCTATGGTGATAGCTTTTTTCCTGGAGCAGGTCCTCCATCTAAGTCGTTTTAGGCAGTTAGGAGGAGGGATGTCACAGTTTATTCTTGAGTCTTTTAGGCCTTGATTGTTTCCAGCTGGCATAATCTGCATGCCAAAGTGGTGGGCTTGGGGGCAGTCAGCTTTGGCCCCTACATTTGTGATGCTGCCCCAAAGGGTATTGTGTCTGTCCCTTGCCAGAGGTCAGAGCATAGACATGTACTGTCTTACGATTCTGATGGGAAGAAAGGAAACCACTAGTTCCTTGGGAATCCTTAGGTTTATTGCTTATTGTTCTTTTTGTTCCAGGGTGCTGTGCCAGGTTCTCTGCTCGTAGCAGCCTCTACATTCACTCCAAGAAACACCTGCAGGACGTGGGTGCTCCGAAAAGCCGTTGCCCCGTCTCCAGCTGTAACAGACTCTTCACCTCCAAGCACAGCATGAAGGCTCATGTGGTCCGACAGCACAGCCAGCGCCCAGGTCTGCTTGGTTTACTTCCCTCCCAGAGTGCTGCACAGATGTGTAAGCTCGACGTGTGTCAGAGAAGCAAACACACGTCCTTCCTTCCTCTCCTCCTTTCAGAGGTTGTCAGAAGTCACTAAGGCGAGCACAGTGAAGCCTTACCAGCCTGTGGACCACACTGCCAAGCCTGGTGGCATCTTTTGGGTTCTCCTGCCGCTTCTTGCCTCTGACCCTCTATTCCTTCCCTTGTGTCTGAAGTGCTTCTTTTGAGGAGTATTCAGTCCTCCACTATTTATTTACGTGTGTGTGTGTGTGTGTGTGTGTGTGTATACATATATATACATATATATATATATATATATGTATATATATGTAGCTAGCTAGCTGTCTATCTCTCTACCTACCTATCAGTTTTCCACTTGGTTGGCTTTTCCTAATATGTGTCTCCTAAATCTGTCTCGCTCTGTGATCTCTGTCCTGAATTCTGAGCGTGCCTCTCCCCCATTTGTCTTTTTCACTCCTCTATCTTTGTCCCGTTGTGGTCTCTGGGTACTTCCCTTCTGTCTCCTCCCAGCACCGAGGTGAGGACAGTCCTCAAAGACCAGACAGAGTTGTGTTTCACATTGTGGTGGGGCCGGGAGGCGCAGGGGGTGGGGGTAGTTGGCTTGAAGTTCTGGGGAGGGTAGAGCAGAGAGGGAACCACAGTAGTAGCCTGGAGTGGGGATTCCAGGGATGTGAGGGCCTGGTTCTCTGGCTACATGGTGGCGTGGGACTGACAGGCTGCCTGTAGAGGCTGCGTGCACAGCCCTGTGGGCAGGACCTTGCAAGGTCTGGGCGACTATGCACTGCTGCTGCCGCAGACCACTGGCACCAGCCTGCTCTCCCGACGGGGCCTGTTTGATGAAGTCCTGGCTGGCCTTCAGGTCATTTGAGTGTGCTGCTAACTGGGCCCCGCTCCCTGCCATCTGTGCGACAGGCAACACCAGCCTTGGGGCACAGTCGCTTCCTAGCTGTGTGATCCAGGGCAGGGCACAGGTCCGCAGTCCCCCGTTTCCTCATCTTTCAAGCACGGAAGAGATTTGAGTAGTTCTCTGAGGGAAACGTCCTTCTTCTGCTTCTTCCCATCCTGTTGATATGTGGTCACTTCACTCCTGTGGCCCTAACAGCAGTTGCCATTTAGCTTTGTATTTGAAGAAGCTGCCCTACTGGGCTCTAGGTGTTCTGAGGGCTCCTGTCAGGGACTGGCACCTCAACACGCAGAGTCCAGTCAAGAGCCTTAGGCTGGTGTTGAGAGACCTTCAGTGGTTGGGTTCCTCCCTCTGTCTACGAAACTTACCCCTCACCACTCCCAGTTCTGAGCCCGGTGCTATGGGATGCTGTGCACCCAGGCCTCTGCTTTGCTCCTGTTCTTTCCTCTTTCCTGGCTTGGCTCATTCAAGTCAGCGATGGCATTGTTTATTTCAGATGAGCTTCCTTAGTCTGTCTGGATATGAGAGCCTCTCAGCTGCTTTTGTAGTGCCAGTGTTTCCCGGGCTCTGAATTTATAATACGACATTGACCTGGGTGTCGTTATTCCCTGCCATGGTCGGGTGGATAACTAGGTAGTGTCCCAGTGCTAGCCCCGTGAGAAACAAGTGCTCGGGAACGTCCGTTGTTGTGGATATATACTGCTAGGGGCTCTGCCAGGCCCTGGGCTGGCTGTGGGAGTTCCCCTCGTGGTGCTTCTGGGGCCGGAGTGTCCTCACGGCCCTGTCACTGATGAAGCTGAGGTGGAAAGGAGAAGGACTTGTCTAAGGTCAAAGAGAGTTGGTGGAGCGAGGTCACGATGGAAACCTTGGGCTAGAAGCTGTAGTAATTAATGTTTAATGATTTCTGAATATCTGGGCCTCGCAATAATAGGTGTCCAGTAAATACCTATGGAATTAATGTGATGCTAAATAGGAAATTTATGAGCAAATTGGTCTCTGCACTGCGATTTTTTTTTTAAGTTTATTCATTTTGAAAGAGAGCGTGCACGTGTGTGCATGTGTGCGTGGCAGGGGCGGAGAGAGAGGATCCCAAGCAGGCTCTGCGTTGTTAGAGGAGTCCAGCACGGGACTTGATCCCATGAACCGTGAGATCATGACCTGAGCCAAAACCAAGAGTCAGACGCCCAACCGACTGAGCCACCCAGGCACCCCTTAATACTGTTTTTAAACTGTGAAGTAGTGTGACACCTAAAGAAGATAGATTCAGAATTTGGTTATTAATTTATTTGTCTGTAGCCGATTTTC